ATTCAATAGCCCGTTAGATCTTCCTTTCCTTCTTTACGGTACGATTACTTTTGTCTTATCAGTCTTCACTCGCGCATTCTGATAACGGCACCCTCCGTTCTGCACTCTGCCGTATTTTTATCCTTCCGTCGTGACGTATGCTCGTACATTCTCTTCCTTCTTCTTCCATCCTTTATCAAATTTGGCCGTTTTCAATCTCTGACGATTTAATAGCCTATTTTTATTAACGTCGTTAATGCGTCATGTTCTAATCATCGATTGTATAATACGAGGCAGAAAATTACAAAATGAGACAATCGATTGCTTTGTCAAAGCTTTGTCAAATAGCGCAGATTATTGTCGTGTGATTACTGAAAACGTATCGAAATTATTAACAAAGCGGTTGAATGCAATAGTCATGTTGCATTCATAGTCGTATATTGCGCAACGTATGGGTTTTTAATGAAGTTACACGAAATATTAATTTGCTATACATTAATCGACTGACATCGTAGACAGATTACGAATGAATTTAAATATATATTCCTCCTGTATATAAAATACAAATGGATTAAATAAAACTACAATACGATTGTCATTCGCAGTCACTGCATGAGTGTGCGAAATAAAACGAGTTCGTATATTATTGTGACTGCTTTCTTTCGTTGAATTAAAAAAAATTTTTTGTTTAATTTTTCATAGATATATTACAATTAAATTTGCTTTACGTAATTTTCCCTTATTTATTCTCTGCATTATTTACACTTAACCTCACATAACATACAACTAATTTTGCTTCTTTAAACATTTCAAATTGCCGATAACCAGATTAAAAAAAAAATCACAGAAAAAAATCAAGAGGATTAAATCTAATAATATTGTAACAATCAAACATTTCCAACTGTCACAGATTAAAAAAAAATCAGAGAAAAAAAACAGGAATATTAAATGTAATAACATTAATAATAATCAAATTACAAAAGTTAAATTATGATTCACCGAACATATTTCATCGATATTTCTATTTACGATATCCGCCGTTTCTATTTATCTTTTCGTCGTTTCTCACGTCACCATTTGCCATTTCGTTTGCTTTGACAGATTCAACCTTCAACCCGGAGTTCTCTTGAGCAAATTTTCTTCACGCCGGAGGCTCACGCCTCTTGACGTGGAATAAAGTTGCCAGTTGTTACATTCTGAAGTCGGCTGTTATTTCAGGATTTCGTTGTTCCTCGAGGTGGCGAGCATCCAGCCGCATGTCGGGGGAGCGGCAAATGCGAAATGTTTCCGGAAAAGCGATAGGATCGACGTATTCTATATCGTAATGCCGTCGCTGTATATTCCGGGATCTAGACATGTTTACATGTGGGTTTACGTTCAATACCCAGCGCCCGAAGTGACGCGAGTCTCGCTGCCGAGCGACTAAACGTCTAATCGAATGCATCCTGGGTCATTCCGTCCGGTTAGGCGTGTCATTCGATATTCGTTAAGGCACGAATCTCTACTGAACGCGCAGTAATTTTTGACACCCCGAAGGCATCCGCTTCTGTGCGCGCGCGCGCGCGCGCGCGCTCGTTCGCCTGCACTTCGAAGATTACACGAGTCTGTATTCGGCTGGCGCAGCACACACTCTCGGCGGTTTATCCCTTTTCCTAATTCCACTTTGGGTTTCCTTATGCCGGAAAATTGCACCGTCTTATTCCACAAAGTACACCGGGGACAAAATCTTATCTCCTTAAGTACTCGTCGCACACAGCGAGAAACAGGGGATCT